AGTTAAAGGACGTTTCCGAAAACTTATTTTTAATTTACAAAATGAACTCGGTAGATGCTAAATTCAGTCCATATGCTTGCTTGCTAGAAGCGTTATTTTCTATTATTTCAAAGGTCTAGAATATTCATAACGGATGCAACAAAATAAAAAAAAAACCAGTTCTTCGATACTCCATTTTTCCTGTTATAATATTTCTCATTTGATCATCAGGCACACATGATACTACAGTAACTATGAAATTTCAATGTACCTGATCTAGATCTCTTCGTTATTGTAGTGGTAGAATACCTCGCTCAGTTGTTGGGAGTGAATCAAGAAAACCTACAGGAAAAGTTAGTCAGGTGAGAACCAGTGGGGAGGACGAATTTGAATACGGAGATTTCACCCTCAAAACACATCAAATGTCTTCAGTCCACGCTACGCCGGAGGAATATAAAAACGCAACAATCAACGGTCATTTTGGATTTGTGTTTGAGAAAAACTCGGGCAGGGAAATCAATGGATAATCGTGACGCCATCGTTTTTGATATGCTCCGCTTTCAAAATGTTTTCTGGTGAAGAGCGTTTTTGAAAAACTCCACTTTTGTGACGGATTAGTGTGGACGGTAGGTCTAACCGTAGAAAAAAAGCTGCGTTTCCAAGTTTCCCCGGCGTAGTGTTGACATAGGATACGCACAAAGCTAAGCAACCTCGAGATTTACAAGCGATAAAATACAAAAGTATCATCCTTAAGTATATGCAATTTTTCTCTCCTTTATATTGGCCGATAGACCAAAACGTGAAATGCAAATAACTCCCTACAATTAATGGTCTACTCAAACGTATTACCGTCTTGCAATGATTTTGCTTAAAATGAGGTAAAAAGGTAAAGTAAAGTCTGCATACGAGCCAACAGGCCCATCAGGGACCATCAGGCTGGAGCTTGCCCCGGTTTCCGTTTCTCTCCCGGTTTAGAATGAGGATAATGTAAAATGCTGAAATACAAATGAAATGAAGATGTGACCATCGCAGTTGTGATCGTAATTAAATTAATTGCAAGTTAAATCCGAAAAAAAAGTTAACAATATGTTCATCTGAAATGTCCAAATATTTTGGTCTTTGATAACTTCCGGAGAATTGTTTCGGATTTTTTCTACTGGATGGTAAGTTATACGGGTGAGCATTTCTCAGGTTGAACTGTTAAGACAAGATAAGTCATTAAATTTATTAGGTAAATGGGGGTGTTTGTTTGAAGGGAGTGTTTGTTTTTCATTGTATCCAGAACGTACTTTTTCGTGGTAGTTGAGCTTAGCTTCCGACGCAATAACAAGTAAATATTAACTTTATACACCCGTTCTAGTGTATTCACTGAAACTCGTTGGGGCGGACGAGTTGAAATAACAAAGAAAACAAACAACAAAGATCAGGTGAGAGATTACTGAGCACACATGAAATGACTTGTTGTTTTATTCCATTCTTTCGTGTTGTGTTTTGTTGATGTCTTATTTATCATATCGTTATGCTTACAGGCTGTGATGGCCCGTGATGCTCTTGCCAAAGCTTTGTATTCACATCTGTTTGATTACCTTGTTAAGGTTCGTGTTTATTTCCCGTTCAACAATTCAGCTTTCGGCTCCCATCTACAGCCATTTTTCTGCATAATAGAAACTACAAAAGGTAGTCAATCGTTAAACTTGGGTTGAAATTTAAACTGTTTCATGAACGGCATGTTTTTACCGTTGAGCGAAAAATGGCAAGGTTTTTTTTTTCACGAATCCTGATTTCTTAAGTAGCCGTGAACAGAGGGCTATCTACCTTATTTTAACGATAGGCCAGGAGGGCATTCCAACCGCAACTACTCCTTTTACCAATTTGAGAGGTACGAGCCTGCTTGTACGTCCGAGGGATATATTCGTTACACAAAAACGTCGCTCTTTTCGCCTGAAAAGCGAAATGTGTTCTTCGTCTCCCGTAAATCAACAAACGACCGTTTACATTTTACGAGAAACAGAATCTAAACTCGAGTCGGGCCAAGTGGTCCATAGCGCCAGAACTTTTCCCGGTTTCCTTAGCATGAAGCGACCAAGAGTTTTTCTTTTCCTCATCCATTGATGGAGTGCTAGTCTATGGCGGGGATTAAAAAAATATTTCAGTAATAATATTACATTGAGAACAGACAATTTTGTTACATAACCTGTTCAGGACGAAACTTAACAGAACTTGAAACATGCAAAGTGAAGCCCGAACATCAGTTTCTTGGCAAATTACTCATTTAACAACTTGCAGCAGCATTGTGGCCGGAGTCGTTTTTCTTTCTTACCCTAAAATGGTATAAAACGTTTCTTCTTCTCTATAAACAGGTTATTAATGATGCCATGCAGAAAGAAAAAGACAATTTATCCATAAGCATACTGGACATCTCTGGCTTTGAAACATTTAAAGTGAGTTCAGTCTAGTTCACTGCTTAGTTTATTTTTATATCTCATTATATCATTTATAATTTTGTGATAAAACATATCCTAAGTATGAAGAAATTATAGGTAACTGATTAAACATACACACCGAGTGTTTTCGCTTTGCACGACTCACACTCAACTGAAACGTCGGTTGTACATCTACAAGCGTCAACCCGATGCTAGCATCTGGTACTCTCCCACGTTATAAACCTAATCCGAGTAAATTTCTCTCAGAGATGAGCTGTAATCAAATCCGCTGGATTTAAAGTGTTTCTAATTTTCTAGATCACAAATAAACAGTCAGTCAGACTGACGGATAAACTGACAGACAGACAAATAGACAGACATAGCAGAGAGACAGTCAGACAGGTAGAATGAAAGACAAACAAACACTGCAGGCAGACAGGCATCTAAGCAGACAGACATGTAGACAGAGAAAACTGGCAACACTAGGGCGAAAACGGTTTCAAATTAAAATGTCCATCTAGACTTTGCTGGAATCTATTGTATGACGTACTTGGTATTTGCATTGCATTTTTAGCAATATCTTCTTTTAAATCAACAGGAAAACGGCTTCGAACAGTTTGTTATCAACTACGTGAACGAAAAATTGCACCAAGTATTTGTGGAACTTACACTCAAGATAGAGCAGGTAATGACCCACGATTAATGAATGGTTAGTTTGAGCAACAAGTATTCAAGCAAGTATGATGCTTTGTTGTTGTTGTTGTTGTTGATGGTGGTGTTGTTGCTGTTGTTGCTGTTGTTGTTGTTGTTGTTGTTGTTGTTGCAGCTGCGCTTTATAAACAACCCTGCGTGGCCAATTGACTTGCATACCAATCAACCACGGCCGGGGTTACACAACTTCTAACTTTTTTTAACTTCTAGTTGCGGTGTTCTTCCATCTGAGGGAATAATGCGCAGTCAACTGGCGCAATGGAAGTTTGTAGAAACGTACTTTAAAAGAGAAGGTCACTCCAAAAAACGTATATATTTTATCAACAATAATAAATACCTTGCACTATGTGTAACCATTCACCGAAGTTTCAGCCTCTAAATTGCAGGTTTTTCTTATGAAATTAGTCTCCAAAGAAGCCCAAAATTCGAACATCGTTGCCGCCATTTTAAACAGTGCTCAGTAGCTAGCCCGCGTTTTCGTGACGTCATTCCTTCCGAGAGGTTTTGTCCAAATGGCCTCCGACAAGCCTTTCAACTACCACTCTGAGTTACAGCTGCTTTTGAGCCACATTATTTCGAACCAAACACACTCCAATCTCCAAAAATGATAGCAGTGAGGATAGTAAAGTGGATAATCGCTTGGGAAAAATTCATTTTACTGACCTTGTAAAGGATGCCAAGCCAGTTGTAGGTTTTTCTCATTCCTGCCAATTTCAAGTTGGACGGAATGACGTCACATAAACACGGCCTGGCGGCCAAGTACAGTTTCAAAAAGGCGGCGTCTAAAGTCGAATTTTGGGCTTCTTCCGAGACGAATTTCTTCAGGATAGCAGCCACTTCAAAGTCTGAGACTTCGGTGAGTGGAAAAACCCAATGTTTACCTGCTATCTGTGGAGACAAAAAAAGTAGGGTTTTTAGAGTGACCTTCTCCTTTAAGCCTGGTTTTCACTTCGACATGAGCAGATGAACAAACGTAAGGGCAATGAGGATGGCCACATTACACGCATAAGTACAAGCACAACAAAATTTTTCCTTCTTTTTGTGCTAGTGCTTTAAGCATAAGCATAAAAATCATCCGCCATATTGCGTTACTTTGTCGAAGAGGTATATGCAACCGAAAATAAGGCAATCGTCCGTTTTGTACATGCCCACGTGCTTATGCTTGTGTTTAGGGCGTCCTCGTTACCGTTATGGTTATGCTTATGCTTGTGCTTATGTAGTAGCAAAAGCCAGGCTTGACAGTGCACGTTGAGCCGACGAGCATGATGTGTCTCGTGGATTTTTTACTGACGACCCAGAAACTGCCAAGTGTCCCATGTCTGTCTTAAACACATCAATAATTCATAAGAATTCCTGTCTGAACGGTCAACTGAAACTGATGGCTTAAACTAACATCAACACCGTTTGTTGGACATAACCGTAATAAATATGACTAACGTTGATTTCCTCAGGACGAATACGCTAGAGAAGGTATTTCATGGAAACATGTGGATTACATCGATAACAAGATTGATTGTGAGCTCATTGAAAGCAAGGCATGTAATCACACCAAGCAAACCTTGGCAAAGCAATTTCGTTTCATTACATCCGTTTCTGCTGTATGTTACCGGACATGAGATAATCCATTACCTGTTTATTATCTTGTTTTGCACGTCACGTGTCCTCTTTGTACATTTTTCAGCGCCCTCGGGGCATCATGGCTGTTCTGGACGATTCCTGTAATTCATTACGTGCAGAGGAATCGGAGAAAATGTTCACGAAGGTAAAAATGTTTTTAATCTTACAAAACGTGGTTAAACTACGAGAAACGTTTGATCATCATAAACGCTGTCTACACAAATGTCCTAACATGTACATGGCACTCACTGCTGTGACAAAGAAATTGCGAATCATTATCAGTAGCTGGGAACAGAATGCTATATAAAACTGGTCATACCAGATAACAAAAAGAGCCCCATCTTAAAACAGAGAATGGGGAATCGAGGAATGGGGAATGAGCTGGGGGATCTTTAAAATGGGGAATCTTTAAAAGCGGGAATCTTTAAAACGGGGAATCTTTAAAAGCGGGAATCTTTGAAACGCCGGGGAGTCTTTAAAATGGGGAATCTTTAAAACGGGAAATCTTTAAAATGGGGAAGGCCCAACAGAGAGAATATCATCATTTGTGGATAGACTGCTACAGCCAATTGCTCAAAGGCAAAAATCCTAAATTAAGGATACTACAGACTTAATTAACTTTGTGGAAAGAACCAAAATGCACCAAGACACTATTCTAGTGTCTATGGATGTCGCGAGCTTGTATACAAATATATCGCAGGAGGAGGGAATAACAGTATGTCGGGCATACGACATATTTCACGATAACAACCCTCCAATCCCGACCAACTACCTTATTAGGGAAGTGGTTGGTTTAATCTTAAAGGAAACCTCATTCAATTCAATGGCGAAAACTATCTCCAGACGCACGGTACTGCCACGGATATGGCAGAAATTGAAACAAAACTCGTTCGCCAAAGCAGAATCAAGCCAATAGAATGGAAACGTTACATCGATGACGTTTTCTCCCTATGGAATCAATTACTTTCCTCGCCACAATAATATACAAAGGGGATAGATTTCAAACTGACTCTATCCTGGACATCAAGACCCACTACAAGCCGACAGAAACCTTCCAAATACAGGCATTTCACCTCCTGCCACCCTCCGGGTGTAAAACGAGGTTTTATCAAAGGCGAAGCAACAAGACTCCTGAGAACAAACTCTTAACAAAGTACATTTGAAGAGTGCCTCTGAAACTTCAAACTACGTCTCAAAGCGCGCGGATATCCTAAACTTCATTGAGAGGTCCCTAACAGGAGTCCGCTTCGGGGGACAGAGGGTTGGCTCTCCAACAAAGAAAAAAGATGACTCAAACGAAAGTTTTGCCATTTGTCACGACCTATCACCCAGTAGTATGTGGCCTAAAAGAAATTTTAATGAATAACTGGGTTGTAATACAAAACCAACCATTGCTGAAAAGCATCTATACTAAACCTCCGATTATACCATACAAGAGAGGCAAATCTCTAAAAGACACGCTCGTTAGAGCGAAAATTTAATTGAAGGCTAAAATGCATCGCTAACGCATTTCACGAGGGGAGTCCGTGTATGCTTGTCATAATCTTTTGTTTTCAATCGTGCATTCATATGGTTTCCCAGTTCGGCCGCTATTCAATTTTTTTGCAACTAGAAAATTATTAGAATGGAGTTTGAAATTTCCTCAATGGAAGATAATCTATATGTCTGTAAACGCTGTAATAAACTTCAGTACATATCGGCAAAGGTTTCAAAAAGTAAAACCTGGGGTTGTGAAATTGAACGCCTCACCAGGCATGTTTTAGCACAGTGACCGATGACAACCGATCTTGTCGCGACAACTTGGCAAAAGTGGTCACAAAGTGACAGATATATAACCTGAGATATGTATTCTGACAGATATAACCTGACAGATATATTCCCTGACGAGATTTTAAGTTTTTAAACTTGACCTTTGCGCGTTATTTTCTGTAAAATGGTTAGAATGCACAATGTCAGAGGCAGTAATAACTACCGATAATAACTTTACCTGGTTTTTAAAAACAGTTATTAAAAGGTATTTAATTCTGCGAACAGGCCTTCTAGCGAAAGCGTGTGGAACAGACGGAAAAAATATTTGGCGGGCGAAGGGAAGCCGAGCCTAGCGTTGCAATTTCGTTTCGCAAATTTCCCACTGGAGAGCACGTTCGCAGGTCATAAGCATTGAAAATTCCTCATTTCAGAGATTCCCACTTTTAAAGATTCTCCGTTTTAAATATTCCCGCTTTTAAATATTCCCCTTTTTAAAGATTCCCGCTTTTAAAGATTCCCCGTTTTAAAGATTCCCGCTTTTAAAGATTCCCGTTTTAAAGATTCCCCGTTTTAAAGATTCCCGCTTTTAAAGATTCCCCGTTTTAAAGATTCCCGCTTTTAAAGATTCCCCGTTTTAAAGATTCCCGCTTTTAAAGATTCCCGTTTTAAAGATTCCCCGTTTTAAAGATTTCCGCTTTTATAGATTCCCCGTTTTAAAGATTCCCGCTTTTAAATATTTCCCATTTTAAAGGTTCCCGCTTTTAAAGATTCCCCGTTTTAAAGATTCCCGCTTTTAAGGATTCCCCGTTTTAAAGACTCCCGCTTTTAAGGATTCCCGCTTTTAAAGATTCCCCGTTTTAAAGATTCCCGCTTTTAAAGATTCCCCGTTTTAAAGATTCCCGCTTTTAAAGATTCCCCGTTTTAAAGATTCCCGCTTTTAAAGATTCCCCGTTTTAAAGATTCCCGCTTTTAAAGATTCCCCGTTTTAAAGATTCCCGCTTTTAAAGATTCCCCGTTTTAAAGATTCCCGCTTTTAAAGATTCCCCGTTTTAAAGATTCCCGCTTTTAAAGATTCCCCGTTTTAAAGATTCCCGCTTTTAAAGATTCCCCGTTTTAAAGATTCCCGCTTTTAAAGATTCCCCGTTTTAAAGATTCCCGCTTTTAAAGATTCCCCGTTTTAAAGATTCCCGCTTTTAAAGATTCCCCGTTTTAAAGATTCCCGCTTTTAAAGATTCCCCGTTTTAAAGATTCCCGCTTTTAAAGATTCCCCGTTTTAAAGATTCCCGCTTTTAAAGATTCCCCGTTTTAAAGATTCCCGCTTTTAAAGATTCCCCGTTTTAAAGATTCCCGCTTTTAAAGATTCCCCGTTTTAAAGATTCCCGCTTTTAAAGATTCCCCGTTTTAAAGATTCCCGCTTTTAAAGATTCCCCGTTTTAAAGATTCCCGCTTTTAAAGATTCCCCGTTTTAAAGATTCCCGCTTTTAAAGATTCCCCGTTTTAAAGATTCCCGCTTTTAAAGATTCCCCGTTTTAAAGATTCCCGCTTTTAAAGATTCCCCGTTTTAAAGATTCCCGCTTTTAAAGATTCCCCGTTTTAAAGATTCCCGCTTTTAAAGATTCCCCGTTTTAAAGATTCCCGCTTTTAAAGATTCCCCGTTTTAAAGATTCCCGCTTTTAAAGATTCCCCGTTTTAAAGATTCCCGCTTTTAAAGATTCCCCGTTTTAAAGATTCCCGCTTTTAAAGATTCCCCGTTTTAAAGATTCCCGCTTTTAAAGATTCCCCGTTTTAAAGATTCCCGCTTTTAAAGATTCCCCGTTTTAAAGATTCCCGCTTTTAAAGATTCCCCGTTTTAAAGATTCCCGCTTTTAAAGATTCCCCGTTTTAAAGATTCCCGCTTTTAAAGATTCCCCGTTTTAAAGATTCCCGCTTTTAAAGATTCCCCGTTTTAAAGATTCCCGCTTTTAAAGATTCCCCGTTTTAAAGATTCCCGCTTTTAAAGATTCCCCGTTTTAAAGATTCCCGCTTTTAAAGATTCCCCGTTTTAAAGATTCCCGCTTTTAAAGATTCCCCGTTTTAAAGATTCCCGCTTTTAAAGATTCCCCGTTTTAAAGATTCCCGCTTTTAAAGATTCCCCGTTTTAAAGATTCCCGCTTTTAAAGATTCCCCGTTTTAAAGATTCCCGCTTTTAAAGATTCCCCGTTTTAAAGATTCCCGCTTTTAAAGATTCCCCGTTTTAAAGATTCCCGCTTTTAAAGATTCCCCGTTTTAAAGATTCCCGCTTTTAAAGATTCCCCGTTTTAAAGATTCCCGCTTTTAAAGATTCCCCGTTTTAAAGATTCCCGCTTTTAAAGATTCCCCGTTTTAAAGATTCCCGCTTTTAAAGATTCCCCGTTTTAAAGATTCCCGCTTTTAAAGATTCCCCGTTTTAAAGATTCCCGCTTTTAAAGATTCCCCGTTTTAAAGATTCCCGCTTTTAAAGATTCCCCGTTTTAAAGATTCCCGCTTTTAAAGATTCCCCGTTTTAAAGATTCCCGCTTTTAAAGATTCCCCGTTTTAAAGATTCCCGCTTTTAAAGATTCCCCGTTTTAAAGATTCCCGCTTTTAAAGATTCCCCGTTTTAAAGATTCCCGCTTTTAAAGATTCCCCGTTTTAAAGATTCCCGCTTTTAAAGATTCCCCGTTTTAAAGATTCCCGCTTTTAAAGATTCCCCGTTTTAAAGATTCCCGCTTTTAAAGATTCCCCGTTTTAAAGATTCCCGCTTTTAAAGATTCCCCGTTTTAAAGATTCCCGCTTTTAAAGATTCCCCGTTTTAAAGATTCCCGCTTTTAAAGATTCCCCGTTTTAAAGATTCCCGCTTTTAAAGATTCCCCGTTTTAAAGATTCCCGCTTTTAAAGATTCCCCGTTTTAAAGATTCCCGCTTTTAAAGATTCCCCGTTTTAAAGATTCCCGCTTTTAAAGATTCCCCGTTTTAAAGATTCCCGCTTTTAAAGATTCCCCGTTTTAAAGATTCCCGCTTTTAAAGATTCCCCGTTTTAAAGATTCCCGCTTTTAAAGATTCCCCGTTTTAAAGATTCCCGCTTTTAAAGATTCCCCGTTTTAAAGATTCCCGCTTTTAAAGATTCCCCGTTTTAAAGATTCCCGCTTTTAAAGATTCCCCGTTTTAAAGATTCCCGCTTTTAAAGATTCCCCGTTTTAAAGATTCCCGCTTTTAAAGATTCCCCGTTTTAAAGATTCCCGCTTTTAAAGATT